GCTCAAAAACTTTCTCACTTCTCTGGAACACCGTAGAAAAGTTGGCGATCAGGCTCTATTTCATAGATATTTCCATGGACGATGCTCTTCTGAAATATCAACAATTGTTCCTCCCTTGGCAGTCCCCGCGAGATTACCCGTCGAGTTGAGACTTCGCACCCCTTTGTGGTCACTTTGGAGACCTGCAGAACATCTCTTTCCAGAGACTCGTTCATCTAACGAACAGCGAGGCTCTGTAACACATTGCCGAGGAAGGTGTTTCCCGAGGCATATAACCTTCAGAAATTCAATAAGAACACCAATTCCTACCTTATTTCCCTTGGTTCTCACGATGTTCTCTGAATATCACAGGATATCTCTCTTCGTGGGAACGAGAACATAAAAACAAACAAAAAATGTATCGACAGAAGAAGAAGATGGATCCGTTCGTAACTGCTATCTACTTCTTGAGGTGAAGGTGTCACTTCCATTCAAACCTCGCTGGTTCGACGTTTGATATGGCTCTATAATTGTTCTCTTATTGTTTTATCTGTCATTCAGTTGCCCCCTTACGAGCAACCCTCAGAAGTCTTCGAAAGTCTTGTGCGAGCAAGGAATGACGGGGGCCTTACTTTCTAACGTGTGATCCCAAACACTTTCTTGGGCCATCAGAAAAATTCCTGCAGTCGATGGGAATCGAACCCACGACCGGCAAGCGAATGCGAATTAGAATATAGACACTCTGTCCGCACGGCTACCTGGCCCCCTCTGATCCGAGGCTTTCGATCAAGTCCATCGAAAATCTTCTAGGCACGCCAATGAAGACAATAAGAAGAGACATGAGCAAATTAGATCCGAACGTGATATCCAAGTCTGCGGTGGCATTTTTCTCGGATTTGAATAGGACTCGTACGGTGTATTACGAATGCAATTTCCACCACACGTTATTATGCAATATACCTACCTAGAGCCGATAGATTGCTTAGCATTTCCCATCTCGCGAAGGCATCATCATTAGGTAACTCTTTTCTCTTCTCTCCACAATGCCCTCTCATCTACCATAGCTGCGTAGCGTAACTAGATGATTGATTCCTTGTTACGACTTTTAAATAATATGCACTTTCATTAGAGACCAGCAGAGCAATTATTTGCTTCCATTAGTGTTAATGGATTTCACAGGAGAAAAATGGCGTGATAATATCTTCAAACTCGTAACAAGACTATGCCGTCTACAGGGCAGTCCACTTTATACAAACATTTCCTCAGGAATTATGTTCGACCAATTTAGTAATCGACATATTGCGAAATGAGCATCTTCCTGTGTCTTCTATGCATTCAGATCAAATGATCAATGAGAGTATATAGAGCTATGTTGGGTACTTTCATTATTCGTTTCTGGTTAGATCCGGAAATGATTGTGCTTTCATTTACCTATGCTAATAGTATTACATATTTCATTATTTCAATAATTCTTCCATCATAGTTTAATGGATTTTCATCAAGAGTTTCATAACCCCCAATAGAAGTCAGTGGCATTGAGGGCATATTCTAACAATATTCATTGTAGCCTCATGTTTTCTCAACATTTCCTCCTTCGTTCACACCACTTCCATAATATCATCAACAAATCAATTAACAAGTTCTTGAGCAAATACTGTCAATTGAATGTGTACTTATCTTTGTTGTTCAGGAGGAGAATCAAAGATAACATGCAGTGTTGGAGAAAATAGCAAAGTTTCCAATTAAATTGATAAAAACGTGGATGATAATGGAAAATATCGAAGAAAATAGTATATCATACAATCAGGGTGAGAAGCTATATGATAGCATTCTTACTCTAGGTATGTATAATATTTTTTTCGCTTCCTACTAACACTGAAATATCAACATCTTTCATCAAGTCAGATTTCAATTTCATCTGAAGGAGCAATGCCATTTATTTAGCATATTAACTGAAATGTAAATGTTCGTCATTTTTCAAGATATCGCTTCCATTTTGATTTTGTGACCTAAGTAGGCTGTTTTTCGACCCAAAATAGTGAATGGGGAGAACAAAATTGAGCTATCTCTGCTCTGAAGAAAGTTTGGATTCTCGCCTAGGACCGTCTGATCAATTTCCTTAACTTAAATGTAAATGTTCGTCATATTTCGAGATATCGCTTTCATTTTGATTCTGTGACCTATTTAGGCGGTTTTTCGACCCAAAAAAGTCATTGGTGAGAACAAAATTGAGCTATCTTCGCTCTGAAAAAAGTTTGAATTATCGCCGGAGACCATCTGATCAATTTCCTTGACTGAAATGTGAATGTTTGTCATATTTCGTGATATCGCTTCCAGTCTGATTATGTGACCTGAATGGGTTGATTTTCGACCCAAAAGAGTCAATGATGAGAACAGAATTGAGCTATCTTTGCTCTGAAAAAAGTTTGGATTTTCGCCTAGGACCATCTTATCAATTAATGGAATGTAAATGTTCGTCATATTTCGAGATATCGTTTCCATTATGTTTCTGTGACCTAATTAGACGGTTTTTCGACTCTAAAAAGTCAATGGTGAGGACAGAATTGGGCTATATTCGCTCTGAAAACAGTTTGAGTTTTCGCCTGAGACCATCTGATCATTCATAAATGTTCGTCATATCACGTGATATCGCTTCCATTTTGATTCTGTGGCCTATTTAGGCGGTTTTTCGACCCAAAAAAGTCAATGGTGAGAACAGAATCGAGCTATCTTTGCTCTGAAAAGAGTTTGGATTTTCGCCTAGGACCATCTGATCAATTTCCGTAACTTGAATGTAAATGATCGTCATATTTCGAGATATCGCTTCCATTTTGATTCTGTGATTCAATTAGGATGTTTTTCGACCCAAAATAGTCAATGGTAAGAACAGAATTGAGCTATTTTTGCTCTGAAAAAAGTTTGGATTCTCGCCTAGGACCATCTGGGACCATTGATTATTCACCTAGGTTAAAAAATTATTACTTCCTGGATAATGGCCTTGATTATTTACAGATGAGTCAACATAGTAATATTATATAAAATAGTATATGATGTCCATAAGGCGTTATGAAAATCTTGGAATAAATTCAATATCATAGTTAGTATCTCACTCTCATTGTCAAAGTAGAATTCAATGATAAATAAAGCTAAGATATAGTGAAACTTTTCAATGCTTGATAAACAGCTGATGAAATTCATAGAAAGTGCTCAAAAAAGGTTTCGTTTTGTTTTTAACGAGAAATAGTCTCTCAAGAACTTCAGGATAAAGAGAAATATCGTAAAAGGAGACCACACTGTATACTGTTTGAATAAATAATGTCGCGTGAAGCTGGTGTGGAAATCTCGTACTTTTGTTACGAAGGAAATAAAACTGTGTCGGTCCATTTACATAGTGTGGTCGGGTTTTGCAGATGTGGTCGTTGATTAGCTTCATTATTGTACTGAACTAACTACTAAGAGGCGCGAAACGATTTGCAATCAAATGAGAACGAAAAACTTTGTCGCCTTCCTGAACCTAAAGTCCACAAGGATTTTTACTGAACACGTACTATGAATAAATTAACAGACAACGTGGATGGAACAGGTTACAATGTTGATAAAACATTACGCTAAACGAATTTGTTGAATTTTATCATCCGTTTTTTCCACGATTCGTATTGTATGCCTAAGGAATGAATACACTACGATCTGAAAGATATATTGTTCTTCCTTCCTCAGTTATAGGTCGCGTGCACGATGACATTGAAACACAACCCCACTTTTTTATTTGTTTACAGAGGAATCAAAGGATTGAAAAAGTTTTTCACAATATTTTGGCATACGAATCGTGTTTTCTGCGCTATTTTTCTAATTCAAGCATGCCTTCTCATTGTGTACGATACACAGAAAATGCAGCGAAAGACGAAGGAATATGATGTTTCAGGTATATACAGGATGTCTGCTTAAAGGAGGTCAATCCATTAACCATATATTCCTTGAACAAAAACAAAATGAGTTTCTAAATACCATTTTCCATTTTAGCCCTTCATATTCGATATACAGAGTGTCAAAGATGGAAATTAAAAACTGTTTTTTCTAATTAATCGCGTATTTAATGAGATATCAATCTCAAAATTGGTACATCACTTCAGCACAAAGAGTTACATCGTGTGAGGAAAATAAAACAGAAAATAACTGTCAAATATTCAAAATACTAAGGGTCAAGAACACATACACCCCAATATGTTTTTGTACGTGCGCTAATGACTTCCTATCTATTCTTTTTCGAGTGTTCAATCATTTTTGAGTATTTTTTGTCACTTGTAAAATTTCGATAAAATTATTTTTTTTTAAGATAATTCGAAAAGTACTGGTTATTGTTTGATGCCTATTTACTTCGTCGAAATTGGAAGAGGGCGTAACTTTTTACGTACGAAAAGGTGAATATGGAAATACCGGGTGCTCTATTCTTCTGTCAACTACTCAAAAAAAAATGTAGAAGAAATCAATTCACATGATACCAGTTGAAAGTTAACAGTTATCAGCCAGGTCGAAATTTAAAATTCATTCGAATGATTTTGTTCCATATTTTTTTATTGAACCGGTCAAAGTGTGTCATGTGAATTGAAGAGCAGTTCTTATAGCATTTTGTCTGATCTTTCTGAATCTGATGGAAATTTTTGAGAAAAGTGGTCACAAAGTGAACGTTTCTGACATAACAATGAAACATGGACTTTTACCAAGTCCGGACCTGGATATTTTTTTTCATAATATGTTATCTTGAAGAGTTTCAGTAGAGATACGTCGCTGCAAAATTTCAGCAGATTACGATAAATAATTTCTGTATTATTATTTTAGAACAATTTTAGAAAAATATAATAATATACATCAACTCGTCTCGATTTCCCCTATTAACCATTTGGCTATGTGAGTCTTCTCATGAAACACCCAGTATAGGGAACTGATTCAACGAATATATTGCCCATTCCAATATCCAGATTTTGAGGACTATGTTCATTTTGAAAAAAACAATAATCACTAACCTGGCAAAGCATCAGCATTGGAGCTGAACAAAACGCACAATCCTGTCTCGTAGTTGACAGACTGACAAGACTCGTTGCCTTGACAGGTCTCCAAGCAATCCGTCAGCATCAGCGTGCCCGGAATGGAGTCCAGCACGCTACCCGGAGCGGAAAAAACGTTTCCGGTGACCAGCTCGAAACCCACCATCTCCGGATCGCAATCGTCCAAGGGTGAGGGTAGGGGAGAGGGTAGTTTTTCTGGCAGTTCGACTGTTTCGGTGTCTTCTTGACCAAGAGTTAAGTGCATTAGTATGCACGGTAGCAGCCATACTCGTAACCGAAACATTGTGGACTAGTTTATTATCTGAAACAAAAAAAATTATTAAATTAATTAGAATTATAAATGAAATATTTCGTTGAGGTGTATGACGAATTGATATCTATCATACAGGGAGTGGAAAAAAAATTCTGAATTGAGAAAACCCAATCACGAATATATGTGGTTGAATATGTAACGAATTAGACAAGTAACAAATTTTCATCGTTCAAGTTTCAAGGAGAATGCAAATTCGCAACTTCAGCAAATTTCATTTTCAAGTTCTTATTGTGTATGTTCAATAGATGCTTATCAATGTTCGTCGTGGCATAAAGCCAAGAAAATAGTTGTTTCATGCTAAATATATCGAGAAAGAATTAATATTTTCATCAGATAGAGAATGCGAATTCTCAATGTATTTCTCAAAACAGGGTGCACGTTTTTCGAGTTCCAACATGGGGATTTCAATTATTATAATAAGAGATACGAGGTCGGTTTAGTTTCTGAATTATTTGAAGAAAACGAAAATTTTTATTTTTGTTTATATTTTTTCAAGCGAAAACCAATGGATCTAGACGTTTCTGACTAGGACATTCTTAAGGCACATTTCCACAAGGAATCTGAATCTGTCATCGTACTCTCCAGGACGTCCTTGATGCCAAAGTCACAACACTCAACTTTGTTTTCTCTAACGGGCGCCATATTGGATTTTTGCATTTTTTTAAGGTATTTTTTTCTCATCACAATGATGTATCACACGATATAAAAAAATCTTTCCTGTTGATCAAAATTAGGAAAAAACAATTTTGCCAAGAGTGCTTTGGAAGGAACTCCAACAGTTCCGTTTAACATGAATTCTTAAGCCTACCCACATGACGCAAGCGCAGTCACCTGATCTTCCTTCGCTGGATTATCATTCATTGGGAACTATGAAAGATTTGATTTTCGAAACTGTACCGATCGATATTGATGAGCTGAAGAACCATAATCATCAGCACTTTCAGGACTAAGATGAGAAGAAGGGACATCTCGCGGGCAATGGGCGTGTACACCTTAGTTGAACTTTCAACTCAAACCATGTTTATAATGATCCTTTCATACATAAATATTGATTGACGACATAATTCGATCGAAAAATTAACTGGAATGTATCATTTTTGGACATAAATGATAGTACCTTCTGAAAACGGACCCTCTTATGACGTAGAAACCTCATCTCGCCATAGTTGAAAGAAAATACCAAACGCTCGACGGAGACTGAGTCAACTGATATATTAATTCTTTCAACTGTTATCTCGCGCTAACTCACTCTGTCAGAAATCATGTATCATTCATCTTTGTCTGGAATAGTCTTGTTTCAGTATTAGGGTTTTGACGTCACATCATCGCCTCGTTTCCAGAGGTCCGAGAAATTAGGGATTTCAATAATTTTTTATAAAACGTAGGGAGCTCACAGCAAGAAACGGATTGCGGTGGTGAGCTAGTTTGGTTGAGTTCTATCGAATTATGTAATATAGTTATTTGTTTAACTAGGCAGCAAAGTAGTAGATTGACTGCCGAGGCAGATTTCACAGCTAGGAATTCAGCTAAGGCAGTCAATCTACTTTGCTGCCGAGTTGATTATATAATTTTTTCTCCGATTGTTCATAATGATATATATATCTCTTCATTTTTTCTGTAGTGTTCAATTAAAATGAAATTTGATAGAAATCGCAGTTGTTGGAATGGTTGGTTGCTATGGAAATACTTCTCAAAAATGCAAAAATTCAATATGGCACCCATAAGAAAAAACAAAGTTGTATGTTGTAATTCTGGCATTGTCTAATTGTCTATTGGTTCCTTCCAAGCATACTATAACGTCATCTACGCATCTAAACCAATACAAACATTGTTTTATTAATGAATGTTTATGTATTATTCGCTCCAAGTTGATCATGAAGATTTCAGCAAGTAAAGGGCTCAGTGGATTCCCCATAATCAACCCTTTTGACGCGGAATATATTTTGATGTCAAATTGAAAGTAATTTGGTTTGGGACATATCGACAGAAGGTCTAAGATCTCTTGTTTGATAATCGGATTAACATGGTTTTCATCTAATAACTACTCAACTAATAGTATGGTAGCTTCGGGAGGTATACTTGGAAAAAGGTTTTGTTCATCAAATGAAATGAATTTTGTGCTGTCAGGTAGAGTAAAATTTCGAATTTTAGTTATGAAATCATAGGAATTTTTCAAGCTGAATTTCGATTGAAAATTACGATAGTTTTTTATCAACGTTATTTTTCGACATATTATCTGTCATATGTTGTGGTATTATCTAGAAAAATATCACGTCAAAGACTTTTGTTTCATCAGGACACCAAGATCCTGAAACACTGATAACCAGACCGACATTACTGAATGGGGAAGACCACTGAGAGAAGAAATCCGTTCAAACCTCTTTCAATCGACGAAACATGATTTACGTTTGATGTACAATCAATATTAAGAGTTAAAGTTGAAGGGAATCGAATCTATATCGTTTTGAAATCAGCATATTTCATTCGATATTTCAAACAGCCAAATATGATGGTGGAGTCATGACGTATAAGTCCCGAACTGTAGCTATCTCTCTCTGATACCTCGTCATTCTGCAGTGTTGAAGTGTGATTGGTCAGTTCAAGGACAATAGGCGTGTTGGGAATAAGACGTCGCACCAGTCACACCAATGAATTGACAAAATTTCAAATGGCGCAGGAATTGTGTGTTTTGAAATGGACATATTCTAATTTATTTTTTCCATCGTCTAAGCATGAATGACAAAATTCAAAATTAATTCGCTGGTAGTTTTTCAGTAAAGAGTTCACGATAATGTCATTTTAAAAAATTAGTGGTCTCCCCCATTCTCCGTTCGGTATCGTGAAAGCACCAAACAAATGATCGCCTACAAGCGGAAAATTATCCAGCTTCATTGATTACCACCGCTGGCAGATCTACTTAAGTCATTCGAATCGTTTTCAGAATTGCAGAAATCATCTGCCGGCAGAAGTCACGACGGTGTTCCTGATGATGGACAATAACGCCGCAGTGTTTCGTAATCGAATCTGCATGGGGTAGGTGGAATAAAGTGAAATTATGGTCCGCTGCCCGTTCAAATACAACTCCGGAGATCGTAAATGGAGGTTCGAGATGAGATAATCTGGTTGAGAGCGGTGAAGCATCAACCTATTAACCCTTTCGAATGTGTGGATCTATCATTGGAAGACGGAAGTAGTGATTACTTCAACGTCTTCGATACCTGCACTAATAATTAATCGATGGTAATAACACGGATTTTATCGCTAAATTTTTTATTTTCCACGAGAACTCGTTTGTTTGGTAACAATATGGTAATCAATTGATCACTCTTTATACAGGGTGTTCCATAATTGAATGCTGATCCTAAAGGGCGATAATCCTCGGATGATTTTAAGAAAAATTCTTTATGTGAACATACGTCCGTAACAGCTTCGTTTCTGAGATACAGGATGTTGAAATTCAACAAAAAAATCAGTATTCCCCAATATCTCTGAAACCGCTTTGGCTTTTTTCTTCAATTTTGGTGCATGCCAAGTATGCATAAAAATAATTTTTTTCCACAATGAAGGATTTTTAAAACAGCTACCTCAATTTCTGGAGTTCTCGCAGTCCGATGTGCTCCTTTCAAGTGATGATTTGGCTTGAAACTTCCTGTTTCAAATGACCTTCTGTGGGTGTTTGAAATCGTTTGAGCATCACGAACCATTCTATTTGGGAAGCGCTCTAGATACAGTCGCCTGGCTTCATATGCGTTCCCGTCAGCAAACCCATACAGGTAATGCATGTCTGCTAATTCGGTATTTGTGAAATTTACCATGTTTTTCTTCAATAAACAAGTTCTTTCAATGTGAATAATATCACGTATCTAGCTGAGGAATTGTCAAAATTGTTTATTTTGAAAACAACGAAATGTGTTCTTAGCATACTAGATTTTTCTAGCCCACAAGATAATCCTACTACTCTTCAACGTCTGATTTCGCGTAGAGACAAGCAAATGAATGCATTTTATTTTCCAACTCAAACAGAGATTCACGGCTTGACTTGATATTCAAGCTACTTGACTTGACTTGACTTGAAATCAAGTCAAGTTCATGTCAAGCGAAAGTTTTTTAATGTCAAGTCAAGTCAAGTAATTATTTATCAAGTACTTGAAAAATCAAGTAACTAGTTCTATCAAGCTACTTGATTTTCAGCAGTTTTATTGTGTATCTATACAGCGTGACTCACGGTCGATGTTATAGGTTAGACGTTTATGGAGAATGCGACGCGGGATTTTTCTGAAAATTTCGCATACACAAAAAATTCCTGAAGTTGAAAAATCTCGATTTTTTGCACTCTATATCTCCATAATCTTTTCCGCTATACCCCGAATGTGATGTATCGATGAAATCAACTCTTCAAGGAGAATCTGAAAATGCAATGAAATACAGGGTGTTCAATTCGAAATAACAAAGTGGTTCCTACTTTTCTATAGAAGCGGCAACGTCGTGATTTTGAAAATATATTAGATCGATAGTACCGGTGATGAAATGTGAGATGCGAAATTTTCAGAAAAATCCTGCGTTGCGTTCCTATCATAAACGTGAACGTCTAACCTACCATCGACCGTGAGTCACCCTGTATATAACTGATGAAATGAAAATAGCATCGTAAAAGACTGACTGCGCGATCGATTCAGTCAGCTCGGATCTCGGGGAACCCCGTATTTTGTCTAAGCGTGAGCGAGCTTGCAGAAATATACGCCGTGCGACTCGTGCGTATCAAGATCAAGTATTATCAAGTAGCTTGATTTCAAGTCAAGTAAAAAATATCTCAAATTCAAGTCAAGTCAAGTACGTAATTTGCCACGAGCTTGATTTTCAAGTCAAGTCAAGTAGTTTGTTAAAATATCAAGCTACTTGACTTGATGAATCTCTGAACTCAAAAACCATTC